GGCAGATCAAGAGACCTAGCTGAACGGTTAGCAGACCGAACATAGCAGTAATATATATGACATTTCAACTTTCAAATCAATTACTTTAATAACTAGAGAAAGGACACCTGATCATAATTCCATGGAAAACATTACCGTAGGGAGCCGAGCGGACAGCACACTGGACTGTGATCCTGTGGTCCTGGGTTCGATCCCAGGCGCCGGCGAGAAACAGTGGGAAGAGTTTCTTTCACCCTATGCCCCTGTTACCTAGCAGTAAAATAGGTACCTGGGTGTTAGTCAGCTGTCACGGGCTGCTTCTTGGTGGTCGAGGCCTGGTCGAGGACCGGACCGTGGGGACACTAAAGCCCCGAAATCATCTCAAGATAACCTCAAGAAGGGGGATAGGCAGTCGGGGATAGAGGTCAGGGGCCAGATTCACGAAGCAGTTACGCAAGCACTTACGAACGTGTACATCTTTCCTCAATCTTTGACGGCTTTGGTTAGATTTATTAAACTGTTTACAAGCAGGACAACTTCCCAGTCAACTTTTGTTATTGTTATAAACAGCTTCCTGGTGCTTCGGAGCTCATTAACTGTTTAATAATTGTAAACAAAGCCGCCAAAGACTGAGAAAAGGCGTTCAGGCGTAACTGCTTCGTGAATCTGGCCCCAGGAGGTCAAGAAGGATAAGAGGACTGGACTCAGGGTAATTATACATTGAGATTTAAGTCTCGTCCTAATCACACACACCTTGACCAAACACTCAGGAGGTTATCGTGAGATGATTTCGGGGCTTTAGTGTCCCCCGCGGCCCGGTCCTCGGCCCAGGCCTCCACCCCCCAGGAAGCAGCCCGTGACAGCTGACTAACACCCAGGTACCTATTTTACTGCTAGGTAACAGGGGCATAGGGTGAAAGAAACTTTGCCCACTGTTTCTCGCCGACGCCTGGGATCGAACCCAGGACCACAGGATCACAAGTCCAGTGTGCTGTCCGCTCGGCCGACCGGCTCAGGAGAGTGCGAAAGACTTGGTGTAATTTCTTTACGTAAATTTCGCAGATACACAAGTGTGGGATTTTGTCGTATGTTATGTCTGTGAGAAGTCATTACCATTACTTAATAACTTTAATGTAAATAAAACAGACAAGCGTGCGAGCGAGCGCATGCACATTACCTGGGTGAAGAAATGCTTCAGGAGTCAGGACGAGAGCTGCGGGCCGCTCCAAGCAACAGCCTGGTGGACCAAACTCTCACGTCAAAGTCAAGTCTGGCCCCGGGCCGGGCTTGGGAAGTAGAACTACTCCCAGAACCCCATCAAGCAGGTATCAACCAGGTATCAGAGAAAGATCTGGGGGTTGATATTACACCAGACCTGTCCCTTGAAGCCCACGTCAAAAGGATAACATCAGCGGCATATGCAAGGCTGGTGAACATAAGAACTGCCTTCAGAAACTCGTGTAAGGAATCATCCAGACCCTTGTATACCTCATATGTCAGACCAATACTGGAATATGCGGCTCCAGCCTGGAGTCCATATCTAGTCAAACACAAAACGAATTAAGAAGAGGTTCAGAGGTATACCACCAGTCCCTGAGCTGAGAGGTATGAGCTGCAAGGAAAGATTACTGGAACTAAACCTCGCGGCACTGGAAGACAGAAGAGTTAAGGGAGACATGATCACTACCTATAAAATTAGGTAGACAGTGCAGATGAAGATTTTTTAACTATTTAACACGGGTGGTACACGATCAATGGGTCACAGGTGGAAACTAAGTATCTAAATGAGCCACAGGGACGTTAGAAAGCACTTTCAGTGTCAGAGTAGTTAACAGATGGAATGTATTAGTCAGTGATGTGGTGGAGGCTGACTCCATACACAGTTTCAAATGTAGATATGATAGAGCCCAGTAGACTCAGGAATCTGTACACCAGTTGATTGACGGTTGAGAGGCGGGACCAAAAAGCCAGAGCTCAACCCCCCGCAAGCACAACTAGGTGAGTGCAACTATGTGAGTACACAGGCTCTAGCGCCCCCCCCCCCCACCCCCAACATCACTGCCTGGTACAGAGGTGTCACCAAGTACACGCCAACTACCACCAGTAGGTTGACTGGTGGAGGTCGACCCCTACCACCTATTCACCCCTATTCACCAGGTGTGAATAGATTACACAGACTGTGAGATCGGAATAACACTACACAACAAGGTCCCGCAAATATTATGAACGACCGAGGTGAGGTGAACCTGAGGTAAAAACACTAATCCTGTGTGACTATAATATCTCTTCCAAGTGATATGAGGAGAAAGATTATGGGGTAGGACGCAAAGCAGGAATAGTGCCCAACCACTTGGACCGCCGGGGATACAACGGCCACCTGTGAGAAGGTCCACCCACCTCACCAAGCGGTTGGCTTATAATAACCAAATGGACATTCCATCTGCTTTCTTACGGGCTATTCATGCCCGTGCCACCTCTTGGGTGGCTTAATCTTTATCAATCAATCAATTCCATCTGCCTCACTATTTACTCAACTGTAATAAGTTTATTTATTTCCAGCATCTAGGAACTCACTTTCAGAATACCATTATCAGTGACAGAAGCAGCCCAATTCCTGCTTCATAACGATTAGTTAACTCTAACATCACTAATTCCCATTAAATACAGTAATTAATATAAAGCAACAAGTAAAGAACCATGAAAGTAATAGTATTGCTGTACAGGAATGACAGAAAACCATTGACCAGGGGCCAGATTCACGAAAGCACTTACGCAAGCACTTACGAACGTGTACATCTTTCCTCAATCTTTGACGGTTTTGGTTACAATTATTAAACAGTTTACAAGCATGAAAACTTCCCATTCAACTGTTGTTATTGTTATAAACAGCCTCCTGGTGCTTCGGAGCTCATTAACTGTTTAATAATTGGAAACAAAGCCGCCAAAGATTGAGAAAAGATGTACACGTTCGTAAGTGTTTGCGTAAGTGCTTTCGTGAATCTGGCCCCTGACCTCCAAAGACCTGACGTATGTGAGCTTAGGCAGATCACACTAAGATACACAATTTAGCACGGGTGATAGCCAAGGAGATACCAAAGGGAGAGAGGTGAGAGATAAGGAAATACACAGACACACAAGGTTTGTGTGCGGTGCGCTGGAAGTGTCAAGGGTGATTGATTGATTGATAAAGATTAAGATGTGGCACGGGCATGAATAGCCCGTACAGTGGTGTCAAGGGTGTGGTCGTGGTGGGTGTTGGCTCCGGCGAGGAGTGAGGTGGTGGTGGTGTGGGTGAAGATAGGTGTGGATGGTCATTGTATCGGAGTCGGGTGTAGATGGAGGTAGTGTTAGTGGGCTCAGGTGTGGAAGGTGACAGATGTGTCGGTTGGAGAGGGGTGGAGAGAGTGGTACTGCTGGACACGTGGCAAAACACACTTCTATATTTACATGTAAACAAATAAAAACAATCGGGAATCACAGTCAGTATCGCAGGCGATGAGTCACAATAACGTGGCTAAATTATGTTGACCAGACCACACACTAGAAGGTGAAGGGACGACGACGTTTCGGTCCGTCCTGGGCCATTCTCAATCGACTTGAGAATGGTCCAGGACGGACCGAAACGTCGTCGTCCCTTCACCTTCTAGTGTGTGGTCTGGTCAACACAGTCAGTATTATTTACGTTGTATACATCTTGTAGGAGACCTCTGGTCCTCTGGATGGAGGAACATCCAACGATCACTGATAACGTGTCCTGGCCTCGAGTCCTCGTAGGACAACTGACCTTCCTATTCACCCATTTCCTGCGAGGTGAACAGACGCTTCAGGTGAAAGGAAACATGGCCAAATGTCTCCCCGTACCGCGGGTATTTAACTGGATCTTAAGGTTGTGCGCTGATCACTGAACCATTTTCGACAATTGGATGAAGAGAAGTATTTCGTACGATTACATCCCCAGCAAACATTCCGATGTGGTTTTATAACCCAGAATAAGCAACAACAGTGTTAAGAAGATGTCCTTACAGGTGTATTGGGAGATTGATCGGAGGTAACCTCTTCTTGCTGGTTCGTGTTCGATCCCCGATGGTTTAAGTGGTTAGACACCTTGATTTTTATGTTGGTGCCGCCGGATGCGGCTAGTTTATTGTGCACCCCATACTTATCCTGTGAGCGGTAGCGCAAAAAAGGATTACAGAGGGTACAAAAGGTCTTTATCAGACCTCAACGGAGATTATTACATCAACAATTATATTTATCCTTCACAACTTATAATTATAATGTCAGCTAGTTACAGAGAATGTTCTATTTCAATAGCTATGTATTTACAGTTGGTCATTATACATTAATGGTATGTATTTTCGCTAATACATAATTGTTTGTGCTATGGAAATATCACAGTCACAGGGGAGCAGCTGTTTGTTATTATTAGTCTTCACAATACACTACTTGCTTCTTAATCTCATATATCGTTTATCTACTGGAAGCGAAAGATGGATACAGTGCAAGGATTTCAGGTATTTTATCCTCAGTAATAAGACAGTTTGACATTCATACAACGTGAGTTTAGATTTACCTCTAAATGGCTAAATTTTATTACAGTCCAAGACATAATGTTCGAGTGCGTGTCACTGTCTTTGTCCACACACTTTACACTTGGTTCATCTAGATCCCTATACAAACCGACCTGCCAGAGATACTTGTAGCTAAGTCTTATTCAACTGTGACAACATCTGTTAGTCTACTGACTTTGTTACTTGCCCCATACACATGTTTTGTTTGACACATGTCTTTGTGTTGAACAATGGACCAGCTAGTTCCAGTTTGCACTATTCTGCTTCAGATTCATCCAGGAGTTCTAGTCTTAACTATTCCTTCATATCCAGTCCTGGTATCCCTTCCAAGTACTATACAGTCATATTGCCTTAACGTGCTCCTGATAATTTCCTTACCTTGATGCTTAGATAATAACTCAAGTTTGGGTTTGTGCTTTCTCACTACGGGAATGGAATCATATTCCAAAAGATTTTCATCTAAGTTTAATTTAAAATCAGTACGATTCGAACCCACATATTGTTGAATCCCAGGTTGCATTGCTTTTGACCATGTCTCGGTGTAGTGGTCTAGGGCGTATGTTTGGGAGAACCAAGTGCACGGGTTCGAATCCTCCTCATGGATCCTACTGATTTTGTCATTGATACGCCACATTAATGTCATTTCATTGTGGATTTTTATATATTTAATAATACCTCTAGCTAATACAGTCAAAGAAAACGCTATGAAAAAATTACGACACAAATGTGTAAGTGTATTATAAACATGTATAGTTTGTACACATGATATACCCATCATGAACTTATAAGAATTAAGTCAACTGCAGAAGGTCCATTGACCCATACAAGGCAGCTCCAATTTATATCCATCCAAATTCATGCATGTGTCTAACCTAACCAAATGGTGCCCACCCATTTGGACGGTCGGGGATTGAACGCCGACCTGCATGAAGCGAGACCGTCGCTATACCGTCCAGCCCAAGTGGTTGGACACTGGAACTATGGAGTGTTTGACATTATTTTTTCTGTTTAATAACTCCTCCCTGGTAAGAACTAAGCGATACAACTTCCCTTCTCCACCGCCTACATACATTGGTTCAGGTGTAGGTAAAATGCAAATTATTCTTCTAGTAAAGAGGAAGTATTTATGTAGTGGGCCTCATTTCCTTGTCATTCATAACTCATTATTCAAAGGAATCTCATTGTTAAGAAAAAATAATAAGATATTTAGTTTAAATTCTTTCAACTTTGAATTAAGATTTGGGTGCAAAGTATGTTATTCATATGAGCACCAAATATACTAATTTGTTTGGCCCGGCCAGTCAGTTACACGCAGCGTCAGACCTTCGAAAAACTATATAATAAATAAAATGACATCAATTAGAATGAGCTCTTATTGTCTATCCAATTGGTCCGGACTATACAGCGACGGCCTTGCTTCACGCAGGTCGGCGTTCGAGTCCCGATGGCCCAAGCTCGATTCCTCCTCTCCCAACGCCTGTGTTGTCTTCAAATCCCGAACTAGTGCTATATCGTCAAACTATCTCATTCCCGGACAGAGCAGAAATGGTTGGGTACGTTGCCTTTCACCTAATGCCACTGCTCACCCAACACTAAATAGGTACCCGGGAGTTAGGGAAGTATTGTGAGGGTTGCGTCCAGGGGGTTGTGGGGGGGGGGGGGTCAGTAGTTCCACCTTAGGAAGGCGGACGTTGATATAACACTAAAACTGGGTGGTGAACCAGTGCCTTTAGAGAACGCCTGAAGTGGGGTGGTGAACCAGTGCCTTTAGAGAACGCCTGAAGTGGGGTGGTGGACCAGTGCCTTTAGAGAACGCTAGTAGTGGGGTGGTGAACCAGTGCCTTTAGAGAACGCCTGAAGTGGGGTGGTGAACCAGTGCCTTTAGAGAACGCCAGTAGTGGGGTGGTGAACCAGTGCCTTTAGAGAACGCTAGTAGTGGGGTGGTGAACCAGTGCCTTTAGAGAACGCCAGTAGTGGGGTGGTGAACCAGTGCCTTTAGAGAACGCCAGTAGTAGGGTGGTGAACCAGTGCCTTTACAGAACGCCAGTAGTGGGGTGGTGAACCAGTGCCTTTAGAGAACGCCAGTAGTGGGGTGGTGAACCAGTGCCTTTAGAGAACGCCAGTAGTGGGGTGGTGAACCAGTGCCTTTAGAGAACGCCAGTAGTGGGGTCGTGGACCAATGTGAGGTCAGGACCCAGGGCCTCTCTGGCAGTGGCCGCGGCTTGTCGCACCTCGGAGTCGTGCAGCTTCGTGAGGTCCCTCCACAGCGGACACCTGGAGAAAGGATGGACACTGACAGTGATGAATGAGAGGACTGATATACTCTGTACAAAATTATACCAATTGGCTTTAAAAAGATAAATTCAAAAAAGGAGCAGACAAAACATTACATGTAATTAGTTGGTAGCAATGACCTTGTGTCACTTATGAACAAGTACTCACCTAGTGCTTGCGGGGGTTGAGCTTCGGCTCTTTGGACAAGTGTGGTGTGAGTGAGGTATGACCAGACAACCCCGACTACTGAACCCTTTAATACACGGCAACACCCACATTGAGTAGGGTCTAAGACCTGAGAGAAGTATGTACCCCTCTACGTCATCGCTGTTCTTTAAATTAGCCCAACCCAATCCATTGTATCCTGACGTAACGAAAATAAGATAATTTTGAGCTTTATACGTGGTGAGGAGGTGGCGTGTCGTCACTATGTACACGCCGACACAGGTTTTAAACCCTACTGGGTTTAAAACCCAACCCAAAACACCCGAGAACCTACCTTACCCATTTTCTATTTCCTGTGGTCAGAACCACACCACTGACCATCTCCACGACGCAACCAACAACAGTTGTCTAACTCCCGGGTAACAATTTACTGCTATGTGAATAGGCGCATTAGATATAAGGAAACGTGCCCCACACGTCTTTGACGTACGGGACCATTTGGTTGTGTCTTGAGGGTCCTACCTTGGAGTGTTTCCGGGACTTAGCGTCCCCGCGGCCCGATCATCGACCAGGCCTCCTGGATGCTGGACTGGTCAACCAGGCTGTTTGACGTGGCTGCTCGCAGCCTGACGTATGAATCACAGCCTGGTTGATCAGGTATCCTTTGGAGGTGCTTATCCAGTTCTCTCTTGAACACTATGAGGGGTCGGCCAGTTATGCCCCTTATGTGTAGTGGAAGCGTGTTGAACAGTCTCGGGCCTCTGATGTTGATAGTTCTCTCTGAGTACCTGTTGAACCTCTGCTTTTCAACGTGGGTATTCTGCACATGCTGCCATGCCTCCTGATCTCATGTGGTGTTATTTCTGTGTGCAGGTTTGGGACCAGCCCCTCTACTATTGTCCACGTGTAGATTATTATGTATCTCTCCCGCCTGCGCTCAAGAGAATACAGATTTAGGCTCAAGCCGAGGGACTGAACAAATATAATTAGCCTTACTTGTCAGAAGGAATGGAACTCCTTTCGAAGTGGTCGTAGCCTCTTATTTTCTGCCTGCATATATAACACATGACGGTGCCACACGGACACGTCATCTTGTTGCAGCCCGCCTCCCCGACAATGTTCTGGCCACACTCTGGACACTTCCTGAAACGTCACAATTTGTCGGACAATTTCAGATTAGTCCAGTGACGGTTTTGGTGCTTGAAAAAAAAAATTATTTATACAATAATGCAAGGTATCTAGACGCAAATTGAGCATTGTCCTACATATCACCTGCTCTTGAACCAATTTCAGTCACCTTAAAGAAAATTACAGAGTCTATTTTAGACAAAAATGCTCCAGGCCGGATTTTTTTGTTGAAATTATGACATTATGATCCGTTAAGAAATTATATATACACCTACAAGTGTATCCAGCTTATCCGGCTAATTATCTTTTCTGTACATGTTCAGAACAAGAGTACACTGGTTGGTCAGTAAGCTATTGTGGTGACCTTAATATTTCCCCCACGGCTGACAGGCCTTTAACTCAACACCATATCAACACGTCATCAGTAATTAAAGGTGTCCCCCCATTAAATAGATCTCAACAGTACATTTAGATATTACTAGTTAACAAGCCTTGTTAGACCGACCTTATCATGGCTCTCGACATCTCTTCTTCAATTTTGAGTCGGGCTTGCGTCTGGTGATCTTTCTCGACCTCATTACAGCGGAGCGGGACGTGGGTCTCTTCCTTACACAACCTGGCCATGACGCGTCTCACTAGAGTCAATACATGGTGACGACATGGTGTGTGTGTGTTACGGGCTCACCATAGTCCGTGCTACTTGGAACTTATTCCGAGTAACTGAATCTATAACAACAACAACATAGTGTCTGTGTGTGTCATGTTAGGGGTAGCTAAATGTGTCTGTTGTCTCCCCTAATACTGTATTTATCAATGCTATCCACTTCGAAGCTTTGCGCTTTGCACATAAAACATATTTTTCGACCGACGTATTGAGGAAATTAATTAAATAGAGGCAAAAATATGAGCAGTTGGTACGCACTCGTAAGTTCAAACAGCTAGTCGATGCATTGGAAAGAAAATGGTAATTATAAGGAGTTACTATTTTATGTGGCATAGGGGTGACATGTGACCCCACTGATGTGCTGTTATTACCGAGGTCGGGAGTCTAAATTTCTTAAAGAGGGATGTGACTTTACAGAACTGAGGACACATGGTATTATGTTGTGGGGCCCTCTCAACCTCGTGCCCCCAACCCAGGGAACCAGGGGGTATTCTCTTGCACCATCGGTCTGTGTCAGGTTCGGTTAAAGGCAGTGTCCTGTGGAGGCAGGAATGTACTAGATGATCCTTAAGTGACTTTCCTCGTCTCCAGGCCAGAATTGGAGGTGTTTGGGCAAACCTAGGCCAAGAAGGGTGGTCCCCATAGGATGCAACTTCCTGAAATCAAGGGTGACCTGAGCTCAAGACTTGCTTGATTCCGAGTTGATCAGTCGAGACACAAGTATTGTAGTGTAGTGGGGACTCGTCGAGGGTCTCGTTACTACATTACAGGAAGGTGGATGAGCCGCATTTGGCGTTCTCCGGTGAGCTGGACTGTTGATGGCCAGCCTGTAAGCATGTGGAATTTGTAAGAGATTCCGTAACACCTAGAGAGGAGTTTTGCTATCCTATCATCAGTGAAAGCTTGCAAATCTGCAGTGATTTTCTTCTCGAGTAGAACTTAATTCGGTGGTGTCAGTAGTGGGGGTGACATTCCTAGCTTGTCATTCAGTAAACGTGCGGTGAACTAGTAGCAGTGTGGGGGAAGTAGAGATTATTAGAGGTGTTAGAACACGGGAAGTGTACAGTGGTAGACTATATTGAGTGGTACTCCTGGTACATTGTGATGATCTGGTACTCCAGGCAACGTCCTGCTGTTGTAGTTGTTTAAGATTCGCTACTTGAAACAAAATGTTTCAAGTAGCACGGGCTATGGTGAGCCCGTCTCAACGTCCTGCTCCTCACCAGCCGGACCTTCACTTCACTTCATCGCAATATTCTCGTGCAGGAGCTAGACGCAACAGCACTCAAAGTTTGCTCATGATTGCTTTGCAAAGATGGATTAATGTTACAGATGATGACGTGGTAATTGATGAATTTTTCTTATGTTTATGTTGATCATGACAATATTTTTTCAATCAATGAACTTGAATTTATTTATTAAAAATCCAATATATTTAATCAATTTAGAATGCAGACGATGAGTCACAATAAAATGGCTTAAGACATGGAGACTAAACCACACACCACAAGATGAGGAGACCACGACGACGTTTTGGTCCGTCCTGGACCACTATCAAGTCTATTGCACACAGTCGACTTGATAAAGGTCCTGGACGGACCGAAACGACGTCGTCTCCTCATTTTCTGATGTATGGTTTAGTCTTTTAAGTTAGAATACTTCTATTTTTTACCTGCAAGATTCCTTGAGACACAGCGGGTTCCTACACACTAACACCTTGTCGTTAGGGTCGTCCATGATAACGGCGTAGGTGCAGAACGGACAGGTCTCAAGATTCCTGAGCTTAGAGACTCTTATCACTTCCTGCTGCCTCCGCTCCTGGGTCTTGGTGAACTCCGTCGGCGTCATCACCTTCAGCAGGACCTTGTCTGGGTACAATGCTGCACAGTCTTCGTCTATGCACTTAAAAGACGTGTGACCTTCTCCTATGCAGGAGGCAATGTACCTGGGAGTGGAAGGAGGTTCTTAATCCACTAGGTAATTGGATATTTATTCAGAGCTAGTTTATTAACCGGGCAATTAACTCACGTTATAATCTTCCCACTTGGTATGCAGAAATATAAATATTTAGAAACTTTTTTAAGTGTCTTTCTAAATGTTAAAATGCTGAATAATATGGACAACAATATTTAGATACAATTCTGTATATATTCTTGGATATAGAGAATTTTATATTAAATCTGATATTGACGTCAGTTTCTGAAATTTGGATACAAGTTAACCTCCATTTTTTTTATTTTTATTTACAGGAGTCTAAAGGATTGACTTAATGTAGGTGAAAATAAAGGGTCTCGCATTACTCATAACTGATATGAAGTTCAAATGAAGTAAGGACGAGTTCTTACCTTGTGACGCAGGGTATGTAGAGTACCTGTGGGGGCCACTTACCGTGTGACGCAAGGTAGGCAGTACCTGTGGGGCCACTTACCGTGTGACGCAGGGTACACAGTACCTGTGGGGCCACTTACCGTGTGACGCAGGGTACACAGTACCTGTGGGGGCCACTTACCGTGTGACGCAAGGTAGGCAGTGCCTGTGGGGCCACTTACCGTGTGACGCAGGGTACACAGTACCTATGGGGGCCACTTACCGTGTGACGCAGGGTACACAGTACCTATGGGGGTCACTTACCGTGTGACGCAGGGTACACAGTACCTATGGGGGTCACTTACCGTGTGACACACGGTACACAGTACCGGTGTGGTCTCTGGGGGGAGCTGCAGGTCACAGTGTTGAGGCCCAGGATCTCCTCCTCCCGACACACCACACACAAAAACAGCTCGTACTGCGCACTGTCCTGTGAAGCCAAACATGTTATTGCTAAGCTTGACCCGTCAAGGTGCTCTCTCCTATTCCCTGCGTTACAGGAGACTTGATGGGGTAATGGGCAGCCTATATTGATGTACGAGGGTTCACGCGAGGTCATTGTGGCTTTATTAACGTTACTCACAATATACAACTGTGGCAATATGACTGTGCAGACAATGAGTCACAATAACGTGGTTGATCAGTTGACCTCTAACCCACGCATCTGAAACTCAAGAAAGGACGACGTTTCGGTCCGTCTTGGATCATTATGAAGTCGTTTAATGGCGCCTTATAAATGTAATGGATGCTAATATATCGCTATTATTGTCAAAATTTGACATTGTCTTAGTATTGCCAACATTTTTGTGCATATTCATCAGTTAGAAGAATTTTGAGGAATTTGCCCACACTAGTGTGTGTGTGTGTGTGTGTGTGTGTGTGTGTGTGTGTGTGTGTGTGTGTGTGTGTGTGTGTGTGTGTGTGTGTGTGTGTACTCAACTAGTTGTGTTTGCAGGGGTTGAGCTCTGGCTCTTTGGTCCCGCCTCTCAACCGTCAATCTACAGGTGTACAGATTCCTGAGCCTATTGGGCTCTATTATATCTACACTTGAAACTGTGTATGGAGTCAACCTCCACCACATCACTTCGTAAAACTTTGTGTGTGTGACACGGTACTGCGTACTACATCACTTTGTGTGTGTGTGTGTGTGTGGGTTTCCTGTAAAAACAATTATTGGCACTGTGCTCGGTGCCTCCGTGTAGGTTGGGGGTGAACGTCGGGGTATGATAATTTTAGCACATTGTGGTCCAGTGGGCAATGCAAGAGTCAGGGGTGGCGCAGGACGCCGGTTCGATCCCACCGCCCAAAGCTCTTGTCTGACATATCACACTATTGTGACTTCATTGTGTACATAAAATTAATATTTTGAATTATTTTATGAGTTGCACATATGAGTGAATCTAGGCTGAGTTAATTGCACACTTCAGTAGTCAAGATTATTATGTAACAGATACCATGCCGATCTCGCTCTATAAACTAAAAAAAAAAACATTCGTTCAATCTTACGACATGGTGGTTATGAAATAATAACCACCCACCGGAGGGAGCCGGCCGGCCGAGCAGACAGCACACTGGACTTGTGATCCTGTGGTCCTGGATTCGATCCCAGGCGCCGGCGAGAAACAATGGGCAGAGTTTCTTTCACCCTATGCCCCTGTTACCTAGCAGTAAAATAGGTACCTGGGTGTTAGTCAGCTGTCATTTGCTGCTTCCTGGGGGTGGAGGCCGGGCCGCGGGGACACTAAAGCCCCGAAATCATCTCAAGATATATATATATAACCCTTAATCTGTCAGTTAAATTCCCACCTCACAAGCACCTTTAACTGCACAAGAAGGATATCCGCACCTCCGCTGTTGGTTCAAATATATTTAAGTTAAAGTGAGGATAATCCCTGAAAATAACAGCGGGTAGCAGAGGTGTCCCGGGAATAAATGACGATTGCTATAGATGGAATGATTCAAAATTCGTTGAGTCGGGGTCAGGAAGCCTGTGTTTATGTGTACTTCAGGCTTGTGTGGAGGTTTTCTCGATAGTTGACGTATTCGCCTTCCCCAGAATGGAACCCCACAACAGTTGCCTAACTCCCGGGTGCCTATCTACTTTAACCTGAACAGAGGTATTAGGTGAAAGAAAACACCGTACGTGGTAAATTATAAAAGTGGCACAAAAGAGCTTAATTGACTGTTGAGAGAAATATGGTTAATAATGCTTGCGATACGAGAGCAGTGAGAGGAATATTTGTTCAAATGGCCGGTGTGTGTGTACTCACTTAATTGTACTCGCCTAATTGTGCTTGCGTTGGTTGAGCTTTGGCTCTTTTGTCCCGCCTCTCAACTGTCAATCAACTGGTGTGCAGATTCCTGAGCCTACTGGGCTCTATCATATCTACATTTAAAATTGAGTATGGAGTCAGCCTCCACCACATCACTGCCAAATGCATTCCATCTGTTAACCACTCTGACACTGAAAAAGTTCTTTCTAACGTCCCTGTGGCTCATTTGGGTACACAGTTTCCACCTGTGTCCCCTTATTCCGGTACCACCAATGTTGAACAGTTTATCCTTGTCTACCCTGTCAATACCCCTGAGGATTTTGTAGGTAGTGATCATGTCTCTCCTTACCCTTCTGTCTTCCAGTGTCGTAAGGTGCATCTCTCGCAGCTTTTCCTCGTAACTCATGCCTCTTAGCTCCGGGACTAGTCTAGTGGCATACCTCTGAACTTTTTCCAGCTTCGTCTTGTGCTTGACAAGGTACGGGCTCCATGCTGGGGCCGCATACTCCAGGATTGGTCTTACATATGTGGTATACAAGATTCTGAATGATTCCTTACACAGGTTCCTGAACGCTGTTCTGATGTTAGCCAGTCTCGCATATGCCGCAGACGTAATTCTATTTATGTGGGCTTCAGGAGACAGGTTTGGTGTGATATCAACTCCTAGATCTTTCTCTCTGTCCGTTTCATGAAGTACTTCATCTCCCATTCTGTATCCTGTGTCTGGCCTTCTGTTTCCGCCGCCTAGTTTCATTACTTTGCATTTACTTGGGTTGAACTTGAGCAGCCATTTGTTGGACCATTCATTCAATCTGTCATCCTCTGTTTCAATCCTCCTCATAATTTTTGCGTCATCAACAAACATTGAGAGAAACGAGTCTATACCCTCCAGGAGATCATTTACATATATCAGAAACAGTATAGGTCCAAGGACTGACCCCTGCGGGACTCCACTGGTGGCGTCTCACCATTCTGAGACCTCATCCCTCACAGTGACTCGTTATCTTCTGTTGCTTAGGTACTCCCTTATCCAATGGAGTACCTTCCCTTTCACTCCAGCCTGCATCTCCAACTTTTTCACTAGCCTCTTGTGTGGTACTGTATCAAAGGCTTTCTGGCAATCCAAAAATATGCAGTCTGCCCACCCCTCTCTTGCCTGATTTTTGTTCCTTGGTCGTAGAATTCAATTAACGCTGTGAGGCAGGACTTGCCAACAGCGTGTGTGTGTGTGTGTGCGTGTGTGTGTGTGCGTGTGTGTGTGTGTGTGTGTGTGTGTGTGTGCAGTCAATATTGACTTATTAGTTGCGTGCATAGGTGACATACTAAACATAATAGTTTCCCTTGAAAAGATTCATAGAAAACACCAACCTTACCTAACCTACTTAGTATGTTAAAATAAGCATCTTATAGCTTCGTAATTACAATTGTTACTTAACCTATTATAGGTATAGGTTAGGTAATAATTGTAATTACGAAGCAATAAGATGCTTATCTTAACATACTAAGTAGGTTAGGTAAGGTCGGTGTTTTCTATGAAGCTTTTCAAGGGAAACTATTATGTTAAGTATGTCACCTATGCACATATTTAATAAGTCAATATTGACTTATTAAATTTGCGAGAACGGGTTGGTGTGTGTGTGTGTGTGTGTGGGTGTGTGTGTGTGGGTGTGTGTGTGGGTGGGTGTGTGTGTGGGTGTGTGTGTGTGTGTGTGGGTGTGGGTGTGGGTGTGTGTGTACTCACCTAATTGTGCTTGCGGGGGTTGAGCTTTGGCTCTTTGATCCCGCCTCTCAACTGTCAATCAACTGGTGTACAGATTCCTGAGCCTACTGGGCTCTATCATACCTACATTTGAAACTGTGTATGGAGTCAGCCTCCACCACATCACTTCCTAGTGCATTCCATTTATTAACTACTCTGACACTGAAAAAATTCTTTCTAACGTCTCTGTGGCTCATCTGGGTACTAAGTTTCCACCTGTGTCCCCTTGTTCGTGTCCCACCCGTGCTGAAGAGTTTGTCTTTGTCCACCCTGTCAATTCCCCTGAGAATTTTGTAGGTGGTTATCATGTCTCCCCTTACTCTTCTGTTTCCAGGGATGTGAGGTTCAGCTCCTTTAGCCTTTCCTCGTAGCTCAATCCTCTCAGTTCCGGGACGAGCCTGGTGGCATACCGCTGAATCTTCTCTAACTTTGTCTTGTGTTTAACTAGGTATGGACTCCAGGCTGGAGCTGCATACTCCAGGATTGGTCTTACATAAGTGGTATACAGGGTTCTGAAAGATTCCTTACACAAGTTTCTGAAGGCAGTTCTTATGTTTTGCCAGTCTAGTACGCTGCTGGCCAGTCCTATGTGGGCCTCAGGAGATAGTGGTGTGTGCGTCGTTACAGGTAGTGTCCCTTTGGTGTGCTCGTGTTGAATTCTAGTAGCCATGTGTCTGACCATCTCTGCAATCTGTTCAGGTCCTCTTGGAGGATCCTGCAATCCTCATCTGTCACAACTCTTCTCACCAACTTTGTGGACTCTACGCCTGTAAACATGTCGTTAACATATACAAGAAATAGAATTGGTCCCAGCACCGATCCTTGTGGTACTCCACTTGTTACTGTTCGCCAGTCCGACTTCTCGCCCCTTACCGTAACTCTTTGGCTCCTTCCTGTTAGGTAGTTCCTTATCCATTCTAGGACTTTTCCCCCCACCCCCGCCTGCCTATCGAGCTTGAACAGCAGTCTCATGTGCGGTACTGTATCAAAGGCTTTTTGGCAGTCCAGAAATATGCAGTCTGCCCAACCATCTCTGTCCTGTGTTGATGTTTGTTCACAAACCTAATGTTCTCCAGGTGTGCAACCAGTCGTAGCCTAATTATTCTTTCCAGTATTTTACAGGGGAGGCTTGTCAGTGTGTGTGGTGTGTGTGTGTGTGTGTGTGTGTGTGGGTGTGTGTGTGTGTGTGGTGTGTGTGTGTGTGTGTGTGTGTGTGTGTGTGTGTGTGTGTGTGTGTGTGTGTGTGTGTGTGTGTGTGTGTGTGTGTGTGGGTGTGTGTGTGGGTGTGTGTGTGTGTGTGTGTGGGTGTGTGTGTGTGTGTGTGTGTGTGTGTGTGTGTGATACGATTATATGGTGAAAGTGTGAACATACCTCACACGGGTCCATGAGGTAAAACAA